CTGTCGCGCTTCTCGTTGCGTCACACCTCAACCCGCCTCAAAGCCAACGCTGATTGGACGTTCGTTTGGTGAACGGCTCCAAATTTTCTTCAATGGAGAGTCTCCAGACTGATCTGCGAGTGAAACCTTAAAAGCTCACGAGTTCAGGATGGTCTCACGAGGCTATTCCAGGATATATCTGCCTCTTCTGAGGCCTTTCTTTTCTTCTCATACACTTAGACACTTTACCTCTTACGACCCTCGGCCATTTTCAAACAGCTGCGGTGAGAAAGGTGAGCTTCAATGACCGTCTGAATCCATAGCTCACCATAGATATGCGGCTGAAAGTGCGCATGTGCAGAAAAAGAGTAATTGCGTAAATGTGTCACCAGAATGATTGACAATTAGAACGACCACTTATTAAGATTATACGCCCGGAAATAAAAGATTGTCCTCTATACTTTTAAGATCCGACTTGGAGTTGACATGTTGATGTTGAATTGTGATTGATGTGTCCGCCGTAAAGTTGCCTACAGAGGCATAATTTAAATCAAGTAAAATACTTCAGTTAGGGTCTTTCTAAACCCTTCAGGTCCAGATATTCTAATCCAGAGCTAAAGTTAGTTGATCCCGAAATGCTGAATTCACTACTTTGTCTCTGTCTTTAGCGACGGCCGGGGCCACTCCTATGACCTCTCTCCTCTGACTTTGGACTCTCAAAACTGGGAGGTAGAGATCTCGACTCAAACCACGGGGAAAAGGTTTTACATAAATGTCTGCAGGTCTCTGGTTCAGCAGGGAGGTCAGTGCTCATTTTTATGCAATTAATGTTCCCTAAAAAACTGAGAATCAAACATTTATAGTCTGTTCCTCATCCCACAGGTTCTTGGAAGTGTCCCTCTAATGCGGCTTCCTGCGTGAAGGATGGGGATGAATATGTGAGCCTGGGGCAGCTGACATCCGGCCCTGAACTGGACGGAGACGTTCTGAAGCTACAGTATACCAGCGGCCATCCCTGCCCGAACAGGAGCGTTAACCGGAGCAGCATCATCCGCCTCAAGTGTGACAAAGATAAAGTGGTGAGAGAAACTGCAGCCGAACCCACAGTAGTAACAGGATGAGCAGAAATGTTGCTCTGATCAAACACTAACTGCAGCAGTTTGGCATTAACAGATCCAAAGGGGCTCCTTTTATATTCCCTCATGGTTCTATACCCCTGAGTCCCAGTATGTTGCAGTCAGTCTACCAAAAAAAGTTAAAAACAAAACCACTGGATTTGTTATTCCAAGTTTTAAGACCGTCCAGAAAGCTTTGACAATTCAAAATGTCTGGAGTAGTGTGGACTACAGTAGTGTGGATGGATTTTGAATTGAGAAAGCTTTCTGTATGGGAGATAAAACCTCTTCAAACTTGGAGTAAAAAGTCCAGTGGTTTAGTTTTTAACTTTTTATTTGAATGACTACGACCTGGATGACTGAGAATCTTCACCAGCATCCAGTCAACATTCTAATACCTGCCCAATTTCTTACCAATACACACACTAGGGTTTAATGCTCACAGATGTTTGTCTGTGCAAATTAAAGCTAAATATTTAAGTACATTTTTGTTTTTTGTCGTTTTGGTTTCGTTTTATAATACCTTTATAATGAGCATTAAAAATATTGGATTTTACTCTTGTGTCCCCCTCAGGATTCCAGACCCACTCTGATCTCTGAGATAGAGGACTGCGTGTACACGTTCCTGTGGTTAACAGCTGCTGCTTGCCCTCTAAACACCAGCCAGCACGACGGGTGCAGAGTCACCAACCCTGCCACAGGTCCGACACCCGCTAGTGCTCCAGATCTTAACACCAGGACTGTAACTCAGTAATGATGCGTGATTGTGTGATGTTACGGAGCCCCTAAAGGGACATGGAGGGCAAAAAATAAACTTTTGCAAGATCCCGCAGAAGTATTTCGGGATCTCGCAAAAGTATTTCGGGATCTCGCAAAAGTATTGCGGGATCTCGCAAAAGTATTGCGAGATCTCGAAAAAAAATAAACTTTTGCGAGCAAAAGTATTGCGGGATCTCGCAAAACTATTGCGGGATTTCGCAAAAGTATTGCGGGATCTCGCAAAAGTATTGCGGGATCTCGCAAAAATTTACCTTTGGCGAGATCTCGCAAAAGTATTGCGATATCCTGCAAAAGTATTGCGAGATCTCGCAAAAGTATTGCGGGATCTCGCAAAACTATTGCGGGATCTTGCAAAGCTATTGCGGGATCTCGCAAAAGTATTGCGGGATCTCACAAAAGTATTGCGAGATCTTGCAAAAAATAAACTATTGCGGGATCTCGCAAAACTATTGCGGGATCTCGCAAAAGTTGTTTTTTTCCCCTCCATGTCCCTTTAGGGGCTCCGTATGATGTGTTGCTAATGTTTGTAAAGTTCTGAAATTATGTCACATCACACCGATGCACTTATTCATGCAAAAGGCACTCCAACTAAATAGAGTACCTATATGCTACACAGAGATTCAGTCGGCTGAATTATGGGTTTTCTTAGCTGTAAAATTTGATGCTCCAAACAAACAGAAATACATTTTCTGGATATATCAATCTGGTTGCTTTGAATTTATAGTAAAAAAATAGCTTCAACTTTTTTAAGTGAATTTACTCAACTTTTCAACAATGTTTAAGGTTGCTGAGCTTTGTCTAAAACTTTATTCCTGAAGTTTTCTTATTTTGATGTTTTTTTCCCCCTCCCTCAGGTCACTTATTTGATCTGAACCCTTTGAAGAAAGCTGAAGATTACGTGGTTTATGATCACAACAACAGAAAGAAGATGTTTCGCTTAAACATCTGTGGAAAAGTGACCAACTCTGGATGCAGTTCAGAATCAGGTAGGTGAATTCCCACAACCCATCCGGTTTTTTTTTTAATCCAGAAAAAGCTCAGCACTGGATCAGCAGTGGCTGATCAAAGAGGTAAAGATTTACAACCAATTTAAACCAGTGAGCAAAGAAGCAATGTTATATATTAAAAATCTAGTCTGTGTTCCTCAGCTCAGGTGTTCCAGTGTCTCTGTTAGTGTTCAGTCAAAGTCTAACCAGTCAGAGATTCCCTGCAGGTTTCTCTTCATTACCATTTTGTCCATCTTAAATATACAGAGGGTTTATAAAGCACTGAAGTCCTGCGTCATCAGTGTATGGAAAGTACATAAAAGAGCATCTAACTCCTCTGAAATTATTACCCACTCTTCTACCAGATACACAACCTTGCAGATTGAATTAGTTTACTATAATCTTGAAATTCTTTGAAATGTTTAAACAGTGTCTAACCTTTGATTGTCTCAGTCGGTTAAAGACACAAACAAATGAATGGCAAAGAAAAAAAAAAAACAATTCCTGAAAATTATAAATCTGCATCAAAAGGCTCAGCTTGTACCAGAATAACTGATATTTATATACATGTTTATTCCAGCTGTATGCATTAAGGAGGGAAATACTGCGGTGAGCGGTGGTGAAGTGAGCACAGAGCTGTCGTACAGAGATCGTGTGTTGGAGCTGACATATGAAGGAGGAAGCCCCTGCTCTGCAAACCCCAACCTGAAACACAAAACCATCATCCACTTTATCTGCAGGTACATTTTCTTTTTACTGGTCTGAAGCGTTATGTGTGTCATCCTGTTGGTTTTTTTTCTTCGTAAAGTTTTGTTTTTCTGTCTAAATCACGGGCCTGCAACCAGGGTTCCCGCGGGGCCTTAAAAAGTCTTAAAAAGTCTTT